CTCTGTCACCCTGTCCCTGCTCTTATTATAGGATTGGGGTGTATCACCCTCTGTCACCCTGTCCCTGCTCTTATTATAGGATTGGGGTGTATCACCCTGTCACCCTGTCCCTGCTCTTATTATAGGATTGGGGTGTATCACCCTCTCACCCTGTCCCTGCTGTTATTATAGGATTGGGGTGTATCACCCTCTGTCACCCTGTCCCTGCTGTTATTACAGGATTGGGGTGTATCACCCTCTGTCCCCCTGTCCCTGCTCTTATTATAGGATTGGGGTGTATCACCCTCTGTCACCCTGTCCCTGCTGTTATTATAGGATTGGGGTGTATCACCCTCTGTCACTCTCTCCCTGCTCTTATTATAGGATTGGGGTGTATCACCCTGTCACCCTGTCCCTGCTGTTATTACAGGATTGGGGTGTATCTCTTTCTGTCGATGGTTTACAGGGAACACATAGCTGAAGGGTATAATAACTACAAACAGTTCTCATTCTTTATCTGCCTTTACCCGACTCTCCTGTCTCTATATCTACCTGTGGCTCTCTCTTCTCTGTCTATCTATGTGGCTCTCTCTGTAAACTGTCTGTTCTCTCTATCTGTGTGTGTCTATCAATGTATCTGTCTCTTTGTCTGTCTGTCTGTCTGTGTATCTGTCTCTGCATATGTATCTCTGTCTCTCTCTCTCTCTCTCTCTCTCTCTCTCTCTCTCTCTCTCAGCTTTTTCAAGATTCAGAACTAATAAATCTCTGTCGAAAAGAAAAAAGTTCAGAACTTCCCTTCTATAGACAGAGGGGAAAAAACTCTGAGGAATTAGCTTTATTTTTTCTAAACCACAGGAAAAAAAGAACCATTTTCTTTGGACTTGTGTCCAACTACCAGCCATCTGCCCTCTTCTCAGTCACTTAAATGGTTAACCTATTTCTGCTGTGATAAAACACACACACACACACACACACACACAAACATACATTCACATACAGACAAACATACATTCACATACAGACAAACATACATTCACATACAGACAAACATACACTCATAGACAAAAATACTCACACATAGACACACATACAAACACACAAACATGCGTATATATAGCAAGTACTCCTGTCTCTCTGCCCCTCTGTCCATATTGCTTCCACCTGTCTCTATTCTGCCAACGATCGCTATATATGATCTATTTAATACAGGGTGTAAGGGGTTGGCTCTGAAGGAGGACACACAGCATCACATATTGTCTGAGAAATAATATTTATGTGTGTAACTGCCTGAAACATTCTGTGACAGAACAAAAGTCTCATGTAAAATGATATCAAGTGCAACTTTTTGTAACTCCACAACTGTAACCTCTTCACCTCTTGGGTCAAACAGCCCCCCCTCCCCACACCCCAAGATCCCAATATCAAATAATCCAGCACGGACTTGCACCGCACTGAATCTGCTGCACATTTTCCAAACAATGTTTTAGGAATTGATAGTTTGTTTAACGTGAGTGTCTCTGCCCATGTTTAATTTATTTAATGACCCAAATATTAAATCATTGACTGTGAAGAAATGGGCACATGTTGCTCACAAAGACTGGAATGTCTAAGGTGGCTAAGGAGGAAGTGGATGAGACAGCCACTAGAGGCTTTAGAGGCTGGATTAACCCTCAGTGTAAACAGAGCAGTTTCTCTGAAACTGCTATGTTTATAAAAAAAAAGGGGTTAATCCTATCTGGTACCTGGCACCCAGACCACTTCATTAAGCTTAAAGTGGTCCTTTAAGGCTGTGGATAGAGGTGGTGCATTAAGGCTGTGGATAGAGGTGGTGGATTAAGGCTGTGGATAGAGGTGGTGTATTAAGGCTGTGGATAGAGGCGATGGATTAAGGCTGTAGAAAGTGGCGGTGTATTAAGGCTGTGGATAGAGGCGGTGTATTAAGGCTGTGGATAGAGGCGGTGTATTAAGGCTGTGGATAGTGGCAGTGGATTAAGGCTGTCGATAGAGGCAGTGTATTAAGGCTGTGGATAGAGGCGGTGTATTAAGGCTGTGGATAGTGGCAGTGGATTAAGGCTGTCGATAGAGGCAGTGTATTAAGGCTGTGGATAGAGGCGATGGATTAAGGCTGTGGATAGAGGCGGTGTATTAAGGCTGTGGATAGTGGCAGTGGATTAAGGCTGTCGATAGAGGCAGTGTATTAAGGCTGTGGATAGAGGCGATGGATTAAGGCTGTGGATAGAGGCGGTGGATTAAGGCTGTGGATAGAGGCGGTGGATTAAGGCTGTGGATAGTAGCGGTATGTTAAGGCCATGGATAGTAGCGGTACATTAAGGCTGTGGATAGAGGCGGTGTATTAAGGCTGTGGATAGAGGCGGTGGATTAAGGCTGTGGATAGTGGCGGTGGATAGAGGCGGTGGATTAAGGCTTTGAATAGAGGTGGTGGATTAAGGCTGTGAATAGAGGCGGTGGATTAAGGCTGTGGATAGAGGCGGTGGATTAAGACTGTGGATACAGGCGGTGCATTAAGACTGTGGATAGTGGCGGTGGCTAGAGGCGGTGTATTAAGGCTGTAGAAAGTGGCGGTGTATTAAGGCTGTGGATAGTGGCGGTGGATTAAGTCTGTGGATAGAGGCGGTGTATTAAGGCTGTGGATAGAGGCGATGGATTAAGACTGTGGATAGTGGCGGTGGATAGAGGCAGTGGATTAAGGCTGTGGATAGAGGTGGTGTATTAAGGCTGTGGATAGAGGCAGTTTATTAAGGCTATGGATAGAGGCGATGGATTAAGACTGTGGATATTGGCGGTGGATTAAGACTGTGGATAGTGGCGGTGGATAGAGGCGGTGGATTAAGGCTGTAGATAGAGGCGGTGTATTAAGGCTGTGGATAGAGGCGGTGGATTAAGGCTGTGGATAGAGGCAGTGTATTAAGGCCATGGATAGTAGCGGTATATTAAGGCTGTAGATAGAGGCGGTGTATTAAGGCTGTGGATAGAGGCGATGGATTAAGACTGGGGATAGTGGTGGTGGATAGAGGCGGTGGATTAAGGCTGTGGATAGAGGCGGTGGATTAAGGCTGTGGCTAGAGGCGGTGTATTAAGGCTGTGGATAGAGGTGGTGTATTAAGGCCATGGATAGTAGCGGTATATTAAGGCTGTGGGTAGAGGCGGTGGATTAAGGCTGTGTATAGAGGCAGTGGATTAAGGCTGTGGATAGTGGCGGTTTATTAAGGCTCTGGATAGTGGTGGTGTATTAAGGCTGTGGATAGAGGCGGTGGATAGTAGTGGTATATTAAGGCCATGGATAGTAGCGGTAGGTTAAGGCCATGGATAGTGGCATGGATTAAGGTAATGGTTATCAACCCAAACAGAGACCCACGTTATGTACATAATTTATAATATTATAGTAACGATAATAATATTATTAATAAATAAATTTCATTATTAATTACAATGGGTTTCTGGTAAAAATTACAAATATTTTTTGGGTGAACAATGTAGTTCCTGGGATGAGTGTATGTAAAGATACAACGAAGGAATTCTCATACTGAATGGGAGATACTCCAGGCTGCAGGGTGTAGGCACCGATTCCCAGTGTCTAAGGGTTAAAAAGCAGATTCTCTCACCGAATGGGCAGATTCTCATTGTGTCAGGGTGAATGGGCAGATTTTATGGATGTCATGGTAACTGGACAGGTTTTCAGCAACTCAAAATGACTGAGCAGATTCTTAGGGTCTCATTGGGGCGCTCCAAGAGCCTATAGTGCAAAGAAAACGGGTTTGTTTTCTTGGCACTATAGGATTCCTTTAACTGTGTGAATGGCAGATTCTTAGTGTGGTGGGGTAATTTAACTGGGTGAATGTGTAGATTATTAGTGCTGGGGGCAGTTTATCTTGGTAAACGGGCAGCTTGCACTGTGTGAATATGGCTTCTTTATGTTCTACCCCTGTTTGATATGACATGTGACTTTCAATTAGTGTTTAACGATATGTTATATATGACAACAGTTGTCTCAGTACATTGTATTTCCAAGGAGTGCATATATATGCTAAATAACATTTATCATTGCAAATCACTGGTACCTGCCATCCAATAAATGTCACACTGCTCGGCGTTTAAACGAATAGTTAGTGAAAGACTTAAACCCCTTTCGAATGTGTCATCATTGTACAAGGAACAGTGCATTGTGGGTAACATCTATGATAAAGGTTACTTTGTGGCAATGGGGAAATAAAAT